CCGTCGGCGCCCACACGCGTTCCTTCTCCCGGGAACTTTTCTCATGTGGCTGTCGCTTCCCAGGAACAGGGCTGTGGCTCTCGCTCGCGCTCTCTCTCTCTCTCTCTCTCTCTCTCTTTAATCCTCACACGAGGGTATTTTCCATTGATTTTTAGAGAGAGTGGGGGAGAGAGAGGGAAAGACCCAGAGACACATCAACGTGAGAGAGACATCGATGGGCTGCCTCCTGCAGGCGCCCCAACCAGGGCCCGGGCTGGGGAGGAGCTGGCACCGGAGGTCCGTGCCCTTGACCCGACTCGAACCCGGGACCCTTCAGTTCGCAGGCCGACGCTCTACCCACTGAGCCCACCCGGCGCGGGCTCTCCTGTTCTTACGAGGACACATGTCCCATCAGAGGCCTCGTCCCTCACAGGCCCCCCTCCAAACGCAGCCCCGTACCCGCTCAGGGCTTCCTCCTGCGGCTCAGGGCTTCCTCCTGCAGCTCAGGGCTTCCTCCTGCGGCTCAGGGCTTCCTCCTGCGGCTCAGGGGCTTCCCCGGACGAATCGGGGACGGGCATTCAGCTTCACGGGGACCCAGGGCTCTCGCCGTGGACTCGTCACTCGTGTTCCGCACCCGCGGGTCCCGCAGGCTCCCGCCCCGTCCCCTCGCTTGGCCTGGCCTGTGTGTCTCCCTCGGACCCTCGATGGCTTGGTTTCCGTTCCGCAGCTTTAAGCGACTTGAAGGACACCCGGTGTCGTGTTCAGACTCTGTCCTGTCGAGTGCGCGGGCGGAGGGCAGAGCCAGCGCCTTGGGGCTGCTGTGTCCCCCCTGACCTGCCCAGCCCCCTCGGCCATCCCTGCCTCAGCCCCTGCGCCCTGCTCCCTCAGCCCCTGCACCCTGCTCCCTCGCGCTGTGGGGGGACGGTCACTCCTGTGGACGTGAGCAGGGACCTGCCGTGGGCCAGGTTCCCCCAGAACAAGCCAGGGGTGCACCTGTCGTCTGGGCAGAGGCCCTGGGGGGTCAGGGGCAGGCTGATGGGGGGCAGGTGGGACGAGGGACCCCAGGCCGAGCCTGAGGTGTGAGCCCCACGTGGTGGGGGGGGAGGTGCTGGCTCTGCCCCCAGC